GTGAAATATTATTAGAATTTAAAATAGCAGTTTTTTATGTGAATATATATTATTTTTATTTTATTTATTAATTGTTTTATTTCATTTTATTTTTCATACATTTAAGTATTTTTAAAATAAAAATATATGTAAATGTATTTATAAATAAATTAATAAATATTTATACTAAATAATTATACTAAAGTAAATTTGACAGCCACCAAAAAAAAAAAATAATAATAAATATATACAGTATATGTTTAAATACATAAATAAATAAATACAGAAAAGGCATTTATAATGTCATTTATAATTTCATTTCGAGATTTTTATTGATTATTTCAAGTCATCTCCCTTACTCCCTTCATGTTAAAGGGATAGTTCACCCAAAAATGAAAATGTGATGTTTATTCGGTAGTATAAATACAAGTAGTCCGCGTCCGCGTCCGCGCTGTTCGTGTACGCGTCCGGATTGCTCATGTGGAAAGTATAACACGGGCTTAATGCATCAGCTTGAAGCTTAAAATAAAGATTTCTCATGTTTTGGGCAGCTGGGATCACATACTTTTCCTGCAGGAGCTCATTCTGTTTCCTCCAATATTTTTAAATGCAATTTGACTATATTATTTTTGTTTATAAATTTATTGATAAACAAATAAATAATATATAAAATTTATTTATACATACAGTATATACATACATAAACAATTATACTAAATACAATAAATAAATAATACAAAAATAAATGTATTTATAAATAAATAAATAATATATAAAATTTATTTATACATACAGTATATACATACATAATTATACTAAATACAATAAATAAATAATACAAAAATAAATGTATTTATAAATAAATAAATAATATATAAATACAAAAATTTTATAATAAAAAAATTCAGGAAAAACATTTATAATGTCATTTATAATTTCATGATTTTTATTGGTTATTTCAAGACAATCACACTTCTTTTTAAAGCAATTTAAGAACAAAAACACATTAACTTAATTATCATCAATTGAAATATGAGATAAAAATGTTTTCAATCAGTACATTGAAACAACAATAAATGTCAGTGACGCAGACAATAAAAAAACCTGTTCTCATAATTTTACCTTCTTAAAAACTGTTTAAACGGGTTTGCAGTTGTTATTTTGTAACGTTTGAGTTTCCATAACCAATCATTTTCCAGATCAGGATCAGTGAAGGGGCCAATCAGATTTCAGCTCCCTCCCGATGCCCCGCCTCCTCTGTCTCTCTTTGTGTTTTCTAATGTTTGACAGGACGCTTTACAGAAGCACGTCTAGAGTCCCTGTGAACTCTGAACGTCTTTCCCAACAGACAGTTTAAACATGTAGTGCTTTCTCAACATGACATGCTGTTTTAGTGAAAGCGTCTGCTGTTTGTTAGTTTCGGTTAACCTGCTTGTTCGCTCCATTAATCGTCTTCCTCCTGTGGGACGCCCCGTAATAAACTCTTACTAGAAGAAGAAACTAATGCGTGAATATTAGGATATAAATCTGCACATAAGTGTCACGTGCGAGACATGTGGCGCCACCTTTAGGTCGGGCTGTATGGATTCGCCTGTAGATGAAATATTAGGTGTGACTGGTAACATTTGTCAGGAGTTTAACTGTCTGCAAGGCCCATAAAGTCAGTGTAGACACGAGGAAAGCATATAGATGTCAAACAGGCTTTAATTTGAGAAACGTTACAGCAGTAATTGACCGACCCTGTGAGTCGAGGCAGCTGGAGAGGCATAAGATGAAACCGAGTCTCTCAGGAATTTCTCCTGTTCGTTCTGAGTTACAGCAATTAGAGGAACATTAATAATGCAAGTAATTGTTAACTCCCTTATTATGTTGAAATGTGGGTACTACTGATGTTTTTGGGTCAAACTGACCCGCATTGGTTTCCATGCAATTCACCCAAAATTGACACTTTGAAAAAAAGAAAAGGAAAAAAAATCTAAAGAAACAGAAAACCTCTATTTTAGCTTCTCTATAAAAAAAACTCCTGTTGTGTTTAAAAAAAAAAAATATTACACCCTTCATGTTGAGGGTCAATTTGAACATAAGTAAATAATATGTAAATATATATATATACAGTGGGTACGGAAAGTATTCAGACCCCCTTAAATTTTTCACAAATGAATGAATGAAAAAATTAATTAATTAATATAGTTACACCCTTCATGCTAAGGGTCAGTTTGACAAACAAACAATAAAGAAATAAAGAAATAAATTGTAAGCAATAAATAAATAAATAAATAAATAAATGTTGTATTAAAAATAGTTACACCCTTCATGTTAATGGTCAGTTTGACAAACAAACAAATGAATAAATAAATAAATAAATAAATATTTCATTATTTTGACCCACATATTTTTCTTTAAAATTAGCTGCGCGGACACAAAATAAAGACATTTCCTTCTTTTTTTATTTTTATGACTGCTTGTAGTGACAATTTGCACACTGCAAGTGACTACAACTAAATATAAATAGTATCTAACATTAATTGTACTGCGTGTAAATAGTATTTATCGCTATTTGTACTTGGTGTAAATAACCTATTTATAAATAAATTAAGTAAAAGTCTTTTTCTTATGTCTGTTTTCAAAACCTTGTGAGGATGAAATGGGTTTCTCGTGCTTATTTTCAGTGCTGAAACAGACTAGTAAAAAAAATATGAACAACCAAAAACATAATTTCACATTCGTGACCGAAAATAAGAAGACACCAAATTTCAAGAAGAAATAAATAGTTTAAATTAGAAATTCGAATGTGGGTCAGATTGACTCAAACACACAACATGAGGGTTAAATGTGTGTTTGCATTATGATTAACACAGATGCATATAGAGCGTGACTGATGGCACTTTTAAGACCTTACATTCTTATGTATGCATTTATGAAAGATGGCATGCAAACTCTTTTCCTTCAAGCTCTGGGAACAAGTGGGATGACCGGAAAAGTTTAATGGCACTGAACAGAAGTGTTTCTAACGTTTGACTGGAGTCACACACCATTAGAGCCGGACGGAAACCATATATAACTTAAATATTTCACATTAACCACATTTAATCAATCCAGAAACCCTGAGAGCTGTGATTTATAACCAGACGAGTGATTTGAAATGCATATTAAGGGCATTTTTGTTCTTGAAAAGCTCCTGAAACATTCAGCTGTTGCTCGTGGCTTTACAAACAGCCAAACAGGAGAGCAGAAGCGTCCGATCTGCCAAGAAAGAGGGATTATGAAAGGACAGAAGTCTGTCTCGTGACATTTTTCCTGCGTGGTTCTGACGGTCTGCAGATGTGTTGTGTTGGACTCCGTCCTCCTTCAGATTCCTCTCACTCCCTTCGGACACGGGAAGCACAGGGACACAATTTCAGGAAGTTTGTTTTGGCCTCGGCGGAAAGCCATATTATGGTTCTGCGTCATGCATTTTTAGTGCACTCGGTCCGAGCTGAACGCACTGAGGTTTGTGTGGAAGGCTGGTTCTGCCACTGAATAAAAACGTAAAAAAAAAAAAAAAAAACTTTTTGTGACTTTTTCTCACAATTCTGACCTTTTTTTTTGCCATTCTGAGTAATTAATGTCAGAATTGTGAGATTTAAACGTACTATTCTGAGAATGAAAGTCAGAATTGTGAGGAAAAAATTACAAATTGAAAAAAAAAAAAACAATTTAGCGAAATTTGCGAGAGGTCACAATTGACTTTTTTTTTTTATCCACTACAAAGTTGAAATTGTGAGATATAAACTCAAAATTGCAAGAAAAAAAAGAGTCTCAATTAGCCTTTTTTGAAAACCGGTTTCCATAGATTTGATGTGTTTCGTTGGAAGTGTGGATTTTAACTTATAAGCTATAGATCAAATCTCTCTCTTTTTTTGTATAACAATATTGTTCATTTGTTGCACTAATATTAATCAAATTAGAATTTAAAATACTAAATTGCAAAAAAAAAAAAAGATAGAACAAACTAATGAATTCATTAAAATAAATTTAAAAAATAAAGTTTTGAGTTGGTCAGATTTGTTTTATTTAATGTTTTTGAAAGAAATTCATTTGATTAAAATTGTGAAATGTTATTATAATTTAAAACAGCTGTTTTCTATGTGAATATCTGTTAAAATGTAATTTATTTCTGTGATCAAAGCTGTATTTTCAGCATCATTACTCCAGTCTTCAGTGTCACATGATCTTCAGAAATCATTCTAATATTCTGATTTATTAGAAACATTTCTGATTATTATCAATGTTGATGAACAGAAAGTTCAAAAGAACAGCATTTATTTGAAACAGAAATCCTTTGTCACATTATAAAAGTCACTTTTGATCATTTTAATCCATCTTTGACAAATAAAAGTATTCATCTCTTTAAAAAAAGAAATCTTACTGAGCGAGATGCTTATTTATTGATCTGTCTTTAACATGTTGAATGCTCACAGATGCACTGTTGTTCATTCCTCTCTCTTATCTCTTCTGTCTTCAGGGATCTCAGCAGTAATCTCATTAGCAGAATCAGCCCCGGCGCCTTTCATGACCTGACGGCTCTGAGGAGATTGTACGTATGATTATACCTAATAAATACGGTACCTAACCCTACAATCAGCATGTTTTCTAGGTGCTACAATGCCTCTAGAAATGTTTCTACAACTAGAATCTCTTATAACATGACAATATGTCAAGATAGTTCCGGTGCTTGATTCTGATTGGCTGAGCCGCGTTCGAAGCTGTTGTAAATGACTCTACAAAGTAACATACACCTTTGTTTACGTTTGTGTGTTGCTCGGCAACCACTTTGTTGGAACCACAACTGTTTCTGAGGAGCTACATTGTTTGGTGGAAGAATACTGTTTTTATTAATATCATTACACTTTATTTACTCTGTTTTATTTTGTGAAACCGTACTACGTATATGGAATAACCGTTTTATAAAAGCAAGAAGCCCCGTGAAGCCGTGGTTTACAGTGAATTTACAACAGCTAAGGGGCATTGTTAGGCACGACGCAAAAACCCCCTTAGCTGTTATAAATTCACTGTAAACCACGGCTTCACGGGGATTATTGCTTTAACAGTAGCAAACTAACACTGCACTCACATCCATGAAACCTTTTCATTGCCAAAAAAAAAAAAGAGGAAATGCTCTTTTAGTTTCTTTTTGACCCAAAATTTGATGCCTTGACCCCAGTCTCAGTCCATTCCTTGTGAAGTTCACTCAATTTCTTGAATCGATTTTGCTTGACAATGCTCATAAGGCTGCGGTTCTCTCGGTTGGTTGTGTATCTTTTTCTTCCACACTTTTTCCTTCCACTCAACTTTCTGTTAACATGCTTGGATACAGCACTCTGTGAACAGCCAGCTTCTTTGGCAATTAATGTTTGTGGCTTACCCTCCTTGTGAAGGGTGTCAATGATTGTCTTCTGGACAACTGTCAGATCAGCAGTCTTCCCCATGATTGTGTAGCCTAGTGAACCAAACTGAGAGACCATTTTAAAGGCTCAGGAAACCTTTGCAGGTGTTTTGAGTTGATTAGCTGATTGGCATGTCACCATATTCTAATTTGTTGACGTATGTATAAGTATACAATCTGTGTAATTTCTACAGTATTTTATTGTATCTGCTCATTTGCCTTGAACCCTTTGCATGATGGGACAAGTGGATAGGTTTGGCAGTACAGATTCCTGATTACAAGTCAAGCATTCACTGTTATTGATGAAAAACTTAGGGAAATATCCAAGTCCCCAGGAATCTCCCTAAACTTCTAAAAATTAGGTTAAAATTCTGAGATACATAATAACAATTCCTGTCAATCAGCCTGTTTCCTAGTCACGTATTGTTAGTTGTCCAAATGTATTCAAATACTAAAACAACAACAACAACAAAAATAAAACATCAGACGTATGAGAAATGAAGTCAGAAAGTTGCAATCACGAAATGAGCATACAAAAGACAACTTACAGCATGATTAGTATACAACTTCAAAACTGCAACAATAACATGTTTAAAAGACATTGACAGTTTCTGTTGTATGGCCTCTCAGCTGAAGGCCCATGACGCTTAGAGGCCCCAGGACACTGGCCCCATTGACCCGATCCATAATCCATCTTCACACGTAAATGCTGATATAAGCTCTCCAAAGTCCATACAGAAGAGATCACAGAGATTTTTAAGAGCCAGTTTGAACAATGATAGACAGACGAAGCATGAGTCGCTCCTCTGACATGTTTATGCTGACAGAGTGTGGAGCGATTTCATGTGCATTATTATTATTAAAAGAAAAAAATATTAATTTCTACTTAATTGCATTGAAGTGCCTCAGTGCTGTTTATAATCTGACTATAAAAACTTTTAATTCATAAATGTAATAATTCAGAGTTGTTTTGCATTGATTTTAAAAGACTCGTTGATTACCAATAACAAAAAGCTGACAAAATAGCGATTTAAATAAATAAACAAAATGGCACAACTTCATATATCACCATATGCTCCCCCGCTGATAACAGTAAGAATTGTTTAAATATGAATAGCTACATGTTATAAAACGTATAGTTCCGGTCCTTGATTCTGATTGGTTGAGCCGCGTTCGAAGCTGTTGTAAATTACTCTACAAAGTAACATACACCTTTGTTTACGTTTGTGTGTTGCTCGGCAACCACTTTGTTGGAACCACAACTGTTTCTGAGGAGCTACATTGTTTGGTGGAAGAATACTGTTTTTATTAATATCATTACACTTTATTTGCTCTGTTTTATTCTGTGAAACCTTACTACGTATATGGAATAACCGTTTTATAAAACCAATAAGCCCCGTGAAGCCGTGGTTTACAGTGAATTTATAATGGCTAACTCCGCTTCACGTCATGCCTAACAACGCCCCTTAGCTGTTATAAATTCACTGTAAACCACGGCTTCTTGGGGCTTATTGCTTTAGTAAATAGAAACCAAAAATGGACATTTTGACACCATTCTATCTGTTGTAAATTTAACGGCAGATCCAGAAGCACCACAGAATGGCGAACTGAAAAAGCATTCAGTGTTTTTAAACTTCTACATTGGAGCTCACATCTTTATGCAGCACTCTTGAGAATCAGAGGATCTGAAGGTTCGTTTTGCAGAGGCTTTTATCATCTCAACATGCAGACGTTTAATGTGACACTGATTGTGGATGTGCGTGTGCCAGGCTGCTGGATGCGCGTATAATTTAAGCGGCAGGTCTCGGTGCTAATTTAAGAGCTCCCAACCTATGATTACAACATTGAACCGAACCGAGCCGCTCCCACTGCACCGCAGCAGCGCATGTTTCTCATTACAGCTGGTAAAAGTAACCGATTCAGTTATGGATGCCGATCCGGAAACCGGGTTGATCTCTCATTGCTGGAGTGATTTAATGGAGACTCACTTGTGTAAAAATAAACAGAAATGAGTCGGATCATTTGTGACCCTGGAGCACAAAACCAGTCATAAGTGTCAATTTTTCAAAAGTGAGATTTATACATCATCTGAAGGCTGAATAAATAAGCTTTCCATTGATGTATGGTTTGTTAGGATAGGACAATATTTGGCCGAGATACAACTATTTGAATATCTGGAATCTGAGGGTGCAAAAAAAATCTAAATATTGAGAAAATCATCTTTAAAGTTGATCAAATTAAGTTCTTAGCAATGCATATTACTAATCAAAGATTAAGTTTTGATATATTTATGGTAGGACATTTACAAAATATCTTCATGGAACATGATCTTTACTTAATATCCTAATGATTTTTGGCATAAAAGAAAAATGTATCATTTTGACCCATACAATGTATTGTTGGCTATTGCTACAAATATACCCCAGCGACTTAACACTGCTTTTGTGCTCCAGGGTCACATATGGTTTTGGAAGCAGTGCTGTTATGGATAACTAAAACTCTTCAAAAATTGTTTTTGTTAATTGATATAAAGCTGGAATAAAATTTAAGTATTAGATGAAAAACTTAAAAAAAACTAAAATTAGAAATGTTGCCTTGGCAACTAACTGAAATAAGTTTAAGTACTAAAAATACTAAACTGAAAAAAAAATGAAAGCTAAATAGAAGTATTTAAAAAAAAAAAAAAATGACAAAAGCACATAAAAGTACTAAAACTTAAATTACTAAACAGTGTTATTTTAGTATTATTAATATCGTTTTTTTATTTTGTTAAAATTTTTATTGGATTTAATTTTTTCTGTTTTAACTTTAATTTTAAAGTTTTAGAAATGTAGATTTTTTTGTTAATATTTTGAATAGATTTTTACATTTTCTGATTTCACTTTAATTTTACTTTTCACTTAACGTTTTAGTAATTTTGGTGTTTGTCATGTTAGTTTTTTTTTTCATATATTTTTTTTTTTATTAATTTTTGATGTTTTAGTTTATTTAGTTTTAGTTATTTTAATACTTCACCTAAATAAATGTAAGTTAGACTAAATGAAAATGAGAATTATTGCCTTGTCAACTACCTCAAATGTTTTTATTTTATTTCAGTTAACATTTATAGTTTTTGTTTAGTTTTAGTTAATGATAATGACTAAATTCAGTTACTAAAAATGAAAATCCACTGATCCAAAGGTTAAGGTCAGAAAAGGTCATCATTGATGTTGAAGAAATCTAAAAAAGAAACCAATCAAATCCAAATGATGCAGATGAGTGTTTATGGCAGCGGATGCTCACACATTCACACACATATATTGATATAAAATTACACATAAAATTAAAGTGAAAACAGAAGATATGAAATCCAATTCAAAATATTAACAAAAAAACTAAATTTCAAAAACTTTAAAATTAAAGTGAAAACAGAAAATATAAAACCAAATTCAAAATATTAACAAAATCTATAATAATGATACTACCGTTTAGTAATTTAAGTTTTAGTAATTTTGTTATGTGCTTTTGTTATTTTTCTTCTTCTTCTTTTTTAATATCTCTATTTTTCGAGCTGTTTTTCCGTGACTAAGATGAGACGATGATTAGACGACAAACGATAACTGTGACTATATCAACATGCAATATCGTTAAGACAAGACTAAAGTGTGTTTTAAAAAATAAAAACTGTACCAAAATTTATTTTAATTTTCGTCGAAAATTTTCATGCGTGTGGTTGCCAGATATCAAGAGTTCAAATCCGCAAATCAGAGCTTCTCTTCACTGCTGAAGCGCCGACGATGATCTGAAAACACAGACAAACAAGTAAACTGAAGTTCAGCTTAAATGAAAGCGTCGTTCAGCCTCTCTGTGTTCTGTCACGAGATCTCGACTGTTTTGTGTGTGATTGTGTTTGCTGAATAAATACACTTACTCAACCGTTGCTGCTTTAATAGAGAAACATTACTGCAATTTGGAATTATTACCATTAGGAATTTTACTTTTAAAATAGATTTTGTTTGTTTTTGCCTGTTTTCATAATGTAGACAGAGAGAGTGCAAGTATTTTATATTAATTCATATATTAAATAGTCTGTAATAAATCAGTTCACTAGATGAGGTCAAATTAAGTCCACATTCTATTGATTTGTGCATATTGGTGAAAGTGCAATTTTG